TACAAACAAGGCTCAAAATAGGCCAAAACCAAAATTACAAAGCTTTAAACACCAAATCAAACTATAGATTGCAACCTCAAAAGGAAAAATAAACCAAAATTAAGTCATTGTGTAGGTAGTAAAAATAACCAAAAACCAGTAAAGAAGGCCATGAAATCAACCGGACTCGGGAAATGGCAGGAGGCTTCCTACAAAACTAACAAAAAAACTTGCGACCCAGTTGTCATACTAGGACCATCCATTGGAGGCAGCAGCCCAAAAATGTAAATCCTTAACTAAATGTGAATTTTCAAAAGGAATATTAAGATCATTTAAAGCTAAGTCCTTGAACCCCACAGCAGGGAAAGGACCATTAGCGTTTATAACCTGGACAGGTTTAGGCACAACATGCATCCTCAAGTGAGGATGTAAATAGAAACACTTAGATTTTTTGTTGCCAATAGATTTATAAAGAACACAAAATTCAGAAAAATTATCCATTAACCCCATTTGAATATAACCAAATTTTTTCGGACCAAGCAAGACTGATTTAATGTATGTTTTGGTAATGTCAAGTTTAACAAGAATAGGGGCCACTAATGGCCTAGAACCAATGGCAGTGACATTATCCATTTAAAGTAGTATGCCAAATAAATAGTCTAAACCGTGCATAATGCGATGAGAGATAAATAGAGGCGGATATCTGGGAAGGAAATCCAAACTAGAACAATTTGAGACTCCTCTGAGATATCAAGAAAAAGGCGAACATTTTATCAATTTCATAAAATAATTATTAATATAATATGATATATGCGTAAAAACTTTGTCATAGTCTAGATCGTTTGATAACTTGATCAACACATGCCTTTGATCCAAGAGGGTGAATGAAAATTCACCCAAAAATTTCAAGTTGAAAAAAAAATTAACGAATAGTCACTAAAAATGGCCTATGCAAGGTAAACTTTCCGATACTGGAAAATTCGAAAGGCTTAACAAGACATTGAACTTCTTCCTCCGAAATTCATAAAGCAAATAAATCTCGAAGAGTAGTAGCCTTTAGATTTGGAAAATCATTCAAAGAATAAGAGCCAGACAAAACATTCTTAAATAATTTCGATTGATTCTTATAAGCAAGAAAGCTAGGATCACTTCTCTTGAAAGAAATTAGCAGAAGATCAAATAGAACTAAAACCTAAACAAAAAAAAAAAAACATAAGAAACTTGCATGAAAAGTGGATAAAATTACGAAAAAAATAGAGTTAGAATAAACTCCCGTCGGCAAGGAAGAGGAAACCCCATCGAGGAAGGAGGATGCGGCTAGGGTGAAGCCCCAGCAGAGAGATAGTGGATGCGGGTAGGGCGAAGCCCTAGCGGAGTGGAGAAAACCATACATCCTTCCATTTGAAATATTACCATATTTTAAACATTAAATTATATGAACGAAAGCACCAAAATCACAAAAAATTATAAAAATATTGAATTAGAAGGGATAACTAGATTATTTTTAGCATGTCAATATAATTAGGGACAACAGATTTTGGATAACTGTAGGATGTTCAAAACTCCTTGTGGATTAAGGATACAAGGAGTGAGCCAAAGGCTCCTTTCTTCTTGCACTTTCATAGTTCATTATTATTTTTAAATTAATATCATTTTCCTTTGAATGCCAAGAAAGTCTAAAACTTTAGGCTATAAGTATCAAGAATTTATAATGTTTTTAACTCTTAAATCAATTAAATTATCATAAAATCAAAAACTCAAACTTGGAGAAAGTTTTGTTAAAAAACTATGAATATCATCATTGTTTTAGTTAATTATTAACTACAATAATTTACGTATATGCATAAAGATATAATAATCAAAGCATGCATATAAATAAGTTGTTAAAATTAAATAAATCTAATGGCTTTAAATTTTTTAATTATAATTCTTGGATTGATTCCAGCAACAGAAGAGAGCAAAAGGTTGAGACGAATATGGGGGTTGCACAGCTTCGTGCAACAGAAATGATCAACTGAGGAGATAGTGAAGGCTTAAGTGTCCTAATCAACAGAATTATCGTCTCAACAGTTAGCTGAAGAGTTAATAGATTAATAATTATAAATAGCTTGCATATTAGTGCTTCTGCTTCTCCTGCCAAATACCATCGATCCATCACCGTGCTGTTGATCTCGTTTTTGTCCTGATTTGCCCTCGACTGTGTTTGATCGAGTTGATAGGGTCTCGTCAGGTTTGATTCGATTCGAATCGACATTACTTTGAGTTTGATTTATTTTATCTGATTTTATTGAATTAATTTTGGGTCGAGTCGAGGCGAACCCGAGTTAGCTCGAATTGGGTTCGAACCACACGAGCAGAATCCTTTTGGAGACCCACACGTGCATCTTTTTAATTCCTGGCCTGCCTTTGTCTTCTTCATCGTCTTACGAGATTCATCATCTTCTCAATTCCCCGCCTATCTTCTTCTTCTTTTACTTCCTCCGCTTACCATTTTTTTGCTAGTAATGAGTTTTGCACCGATTAATGTAGGTGTAAATAGATTATGAGGTTGTAAGAACATCATCAGATGTCAAAAAAGATTTGTTCAAGCTTGTCATTTTGATTGTGGGGGCCAATAGGAGTTTTGGTGGATGCAACTGAGTTAACTTAGGGGTATGCTTTCCTCGAGCGTCAATTGCGAGTGATTATTTTGTGGTGAATGTGAGTAGTAGTGGCAGATATAAGCTAATTTATATTTGATACAATGTGTGCGCTCTAATGAATTTGAATTATGATGTGCTAAATGGCTCTATTTGTTCATATGGACAATGGACACCTAATTGAGCTTTATGCTTCCAACAATCCATTGCACAAAGTATTCATGCAAACCTATTAGCATACATATTGTACCAAACATTAGCTTAGGCTTGTCCCTACTCGTCACATTCACCACAACTCTTAGTTACATTTGTTTCATCCACCAAATCTGTTGTTGTCCACATCCAAGATAGCCAACTTGAACTGACCTTCTTTGACATGCCATGATGGTGATAAGACCTCATATTCATTATTCTCTTGCATCAACTTGTGTAGTTGCCGCTTCGTAGATTTGATAATGAAACATTTATTTATTTATTATTGTGTAATTTGTTTTAGATTTATTATTGAGTATAGAAATTAAAGATGGCAGTGTGATCTTTATACCGACATGATTTGCTCTTAGTGGTCTAGCAAGAAAATAATTATGAGGCACTTCAAGAGTAGTACTCTACGGTATTGCACTTGAAATATAATTAGTTAACAAGTCTAGAAAAAAAATAATTATGAGGCCCAAAACTAAATAAAATATCTGTTTAGCTCCTTAAACAACTAAGAAAAAAATTTATATGATATATTCTTCTATTGACTTTCACATTGCATTTTAGGGGTGTCAATATTTGACACGACACCAAAATTTGACTCGAACTCGACCCGTCCTGATTTCAAAACGGGTCGGGTTCGGGTTCGGATTCTCGAATTTGACCTGTTTGAAAAACGGGTCAAGTTCGGGTTGACCCGACGGGTTGCCGGGTCAGCCCGAAAACCCGATTGAAATGAGCTGTCTGAGACTGCCCACACCTACCCCGGCTGCCTGCACACTTGCTCCGGCTGCCTTCCCCACATGTGGCTGTGCAGCTGCCCGCGTGCTCGTCGAGGCTGTCAGTGGCCGCCCGCTCGCCCGAGGCTGCCCGAGCACCTGCCCGCGGATGCCCGCACCTGCCCGCTTGCTTTCGCAGCCCACCGTCAGCCAGCTGCTTGCCGCCACCGTTACGCCATCCCGCCGCCGCCAAAAGCTCAATCGTGTCGGTTCGGGTCAACCTGGCAACCCGCCAGGTGGATCCGGGTTCGAATTTCCGACTGGTTTACATACCCAGGTAGGGCTAGGGTCGACCAATCTGAACCCAGATCAGTTTCGAGTTCGACCCGAACCCGACCCAAAACCCGATTTTGACACTCCTATTGCATTTGTTTTTCATACTCATTAAGAATAGCACATTTTACATTGTAAGAAAATAATAACAAATAAGATACGACACAGTGAGATAAATAACATAAACAAATATTTATGAAAACTAAATAAATAAATAATTTATGTAATGTCTTTAATTTTTGAAATATAATAATGACTGATTCCAGCAACTGAATTGAGCAAAATGGGGAGATATAGATGGGGCGTGGCACTTATTCGGGCAACGGAAACCAGGAAATGAGGAGATCGATCGGGATTGTGAGACTTAGCTGTCCTAATCAACAGAATTTTCGTCCTAACAAATAGCTGAAGAGTAGACAGATTAATTATAAATAGCAGATTAATTACAGCTTCTGCTTCTCCAACCAAATACCATCAATCGATCCATCTCCGTCTTAATTAATTTTTCTTCTCAGTTCTCCGACAGGCTTCTCCTTCATCTTCTTCTTCCTCCGCCCACTACTTTGCTATCTACTAAGTGAGCTTCAGAGATAGTAATGGCTGAAGGTTGTTCCAACTTTGACTCTGAATGCATACCTCCGCTCAGGTAATACTTACAATTTATATCTTACTAAATATTATACATAATTCTCCGACATGCTTACTTTTATTAAATAACTTTAATGAATGTTAATGGTTGGCTGCAGTGTGTGCGTTGATAATGAAACATTCGAGGATTGTACTCTTATGAGGGTATTCTCTTTTTCCTCTTTTAATAATATAATAATTTACTTATAATGCTTTCCAAACAAATTATGTCTGTTTCTTTATTTGGATTAAGCTTTAAATATTTACCTAATTAATATGACAAAAAGAAAACTGATTTAAATGCAGGTGGAAGGTGAGAATGGGCATGCTATTCTCTTACAAATAGTTCAGGCCTCGAGCGATATTGACCTCATCATCTCCAAAGCCACCATTTCAGCCGATAGAGGTTGGTTCAAGAATGTTTTCCATGTCATTGATCACTATGGTCACAAGCTTAGAGACCCCAGCTTCATACGCTACATGCAACGATCTCTTGATGGTGACCAAGAAGGAAATGGATCTTATCACATCTCCCAACTCAGAATCTTCCACGACAACAAAGCCAATGTTCAACACTTCACCTCTGAGTGCAACACCCTCGAAATAAGCTCTGTTAACTGCCCGGCATTTTCTCTAAGGTCACCGCCGTGCTTTTTGAACTCTCTTGCATGGTGGATACGGGTGAAGTGTGGACTCACAACAGTTGCGCCGCTGGCATCCCCAATCGCTTGATATATGACCATATAGCACCCCCAAAAGAGCAAATCATAGAATATAAACTCTATCTTTTGTGAGCAGGAGATATGGTGTTGCATTCACAATCATTCTTCTTTTCAAAGAAGATTCAATCCCCAATTTCCTTATGCATCGCCTCTAGCTTGGGGATGGAATCGTTATGATGCGTAAGGAGATTGCGGATGGAATCTTCTTTGAAAAGAAGAATGATTGTGACTGCAACGCCATATCTCCTGCTTACAAAAGATGGAGTTTATATTATATGATTTGCTCTTTTGGGGGTGCTTTATGGTCTCATATCAATTGATAGTTCAGCATATTTCCACAATTTCATTATATTATAGATAAACGATGATCAATGTCAACTCTTAATTTAGTAAGAACTTTAAATTTAGATTTTTCTGTCTTTCTTTATTTTATTAAATGTGTTTCATCCTTAAATTAAATTTATCATTGGTTGTTTTATTTCATTTGGCTCTAATTCTCTTTTCTAATGAACGTATCATTATTGGTCGGCTTAAATCCTTCAAAATATTTGCTTAAATTAAGTGAAGATTGTTTTTTACTGTTTGATTGATGAAAAAAAATTATATAGGAATTGAATTTAAGATAATAGAAATATTTCCTTATTTTTTTAAAAAATAAGAACATAATAAATTCAACATTATAGTCTATTAGATTAAAACATTTCTGATATTATTAGTAAAAATATAGACGTCCATTATTCATTTAATATATTTCAGAGGAGAAAATTCATAAAAAAATAATAATTTAAAGTATGTTTCACAACCTTCTTTTTTGCTTCAAATACCATTTTATAAAATTTCTACATCAATTTTGTTTTATTGCAATAAAATGTGTTTCTAAAGAAAATGAATTTAAGAAAATTGTGCAATTTATTTCACTAACATTGGACTTCATCAAATTGGTAAGAAGTTAATTAACTAAATGCAATGTAAACTGCAAGAATGTTATGGTCGGTTGGTTGGCGGCGGTGGTGGCCTACGACTGTGGGGCCGACAGTGTTGACCGCCGACAGGGGTTAGTTGACGGTGTCCAGCGGCCAGTCACAGCAGTAGAGAGAGTAGCTACCTACAATGGTGACCAACAGTGTGTGTGTGTGTGTTGGGGAGGGGGGGGGGGGAGAAGGTTATCCAGAGTTGGCATGGGTGGCTGGGAGAGAGGAGGTTATGGAGGTTTGGGTATGTTAAGTCTTGGTGGAAGCTTACGCGGCTTACGGCTAGAACTTCTCACTATATATGAGGTGTGTACATCACTCAACCAAGCATAGGAATAGGTCTAAGGCTTAAGTTTGTTACCTAACCACGATGGATGAGCTAGCTTATTGTTTAACACAAGTCTTCGCCTTAGCTCCAACTATAGCTGGTTGGTGGGATGGCATGGCTGGGAACCCCTATCCCGGGTTCAAATCCCCTCTACTACGGCCTCGTGTCTTTAGTGGGGCAACACAAGTGTAGGCCTGATGACGGTCGGTGGCATCGCTATGTTCCGCCGAGGGATTAATTACGCCGCCAATCGCTCCCTTTGGAATGACAACGAGTAGATACCCCGTTCAAAAATCTTTTTAAGTGGAGGCAGTTGGGAGTTCATGGCAACTATAAGAAGAGTTTAGAAGTATAGCAACTCTTGGAATTGTATTAATGTTATTTCCACTTGTATAAGAGCGTAAAGAAACATTAAAGGGATTTGTGTGTTTTAAAATTTATTTGGAAATAACAAAAAAATTTGCCCATATTTCCAAAATAACCATTTTTTTTTAAAGTAAAGTCCTTTTGTTAAAAAAAATATAAAAACAAGAGCTTCTCTTTGAATAAATAAAATAATTTTCAGATTTATCAAAACTTTTTTCAAAGTTTCATATTACAAGCAAGCACATTAAACAATTGTTGTTTGGCACTAATGGTCTACAACCAATCTCTGAGTCCTCTCCAAAATTTCACTAATCTCTCATTTTACAACACAAATATGATATGTAGAAATTGAGCATCTGTACTGACATCAGTAAAGAAATAGAGTACAGTACGAGAACAGAGGATGTAAGAGAAAAGCCGAAATTTGTATCACTTAACTTCTTTGTTTAGAACTTGTCGATATATCAATAGATGAAGAGAAGTCTTAAGCATCAAACGGTTTACAGAACAAAGTGTTGTTTGGAGACCAACAGCCCTGATGCAAAGTTCTGAGCGGAAGCAACCAGTGCCATAGGAGGTGGAGATGCTAATTATGTTTTGCTGAGAGTGACCTGACATCATTAGAATAAGTGAGATGCTTTTTATTTTTATAAGCCCCCCGTAAATTGATCTGCAAGGATTGAAGAGTCAATTTGTTTCGGAGAGTTTGGAATTTGATAGTTGAGAGAGGCTTGGTGAAGATGTCGACAACTTGATCATTGATTGATGTATGATGGATAATGACTGTTTGGGCTTTTATATATTCTCTAATGAAGTGTTGGTCAATTTCAATATGCTTAGTTTGGGCATGAATGGCCAGGTTGTGAGCAAGAGATATAGCAGATATATTGCCACAATAGATAGGAATTGGAGAGGAAATGACAGATCGGAAATCTTTAAGTAATCGGTGTAACCAAATAAGTTTAGTGGAAAGAAGTATGAGAGCCTGGTACTCAACTTCAGTTAAGGATCTTGCAATTGTCGTTTGCTTTTTGGTAGCTCAAGAGATTAAGGTTGATCCAATGAAGATGTGAAATTCATGAGTTGTAGATTTAAGATCAATTTTATCACCTGCCCAATCAGCATCCGCAAATATCGTGATGATGAAAGAGCTAGAAGTTATGGGTAACCCAAGAGATAAAGTACCATTGATGTATCTTAAGATATGTTTGAGCATGAAAAAATGAATATTTCGAGGATCATGCATATGTTGGCACACTTGATTTACCAAATAAGCGAGATCAAGTCTGATCAGTATGAGATATTGCAATGATCTAACAAGACGCCTGTAGAGTGACGAATCAAAGAATGGGTGTTCTTTTGATGAATGATTAGAAGTTTTGGAGGCCATTGGAGTGAGGAGTGGCTTACAGTTGAGCATGCCAGCATGCTGTAGAAGAGAGGTCGCATAGTTGGTTTGATGAATAAGATAACCCGAGGGCATAGAGGCAACTTGAAGTCCAAGAAAATTTGAAAGCCGTCCGAGATTCTTTAAATTAAATATAGAGTGGAGATCAACAAGTAAGTCATTGACATAAATCAAGAGATAAAGAAGTGTGTTG